TTATTTTGTGTTTTCTTTTTTTTAATATATTACATTAAAATTATATTATTTTATTATATTGCTATTAGAAAGTATATTAATTACATACTACGAAATATTCTTTATCTAGTTTTTGTTGCTCCGTATTTAATTTATTTTTGGCGTTTCGTATTTAAATCTGATTTAATGAAATTAAATCGTCTGAAATAAATCGTCTTTAATCCGAAACTAATCATGCTTTACATGTTTTAAGAGGCTCTTACTCATACACTCATCAACAATTAATATGCCATAGGCGTGTAAGACATAATCGAAGATCAAGCCAGCTTTTTTAATGCGACGAATGCCAGTGGAGAAAAATTCAAATGACAAATATACGATCGAAGTTTATTAGATTCAGGCGTTACGGGCACTTTTCAAGTACTAAATTAGCTAAATCTTGGAGGAATCCCGGTGTCGCGATGAAAGCGACCGAGAATGCGTGAAGCACTCTTCCCGCCGGTGCTCTTATCTCCATGGCCGGCAAAGTTTTAGAGGCTCCGCCGTTCTCTGTATCGCGCGCTATTAACCAAGAACCGAAAACTTCTTGGGTGGCTGTCTCACCCGTACATACGGACTATCACGCACATGCACTCTTCGCACACGCGTCCACCCGTGTTTCCACGTGCCCAGGTCCTCCGTTTCATTTACTACCGATTCGACGTATCAACGCCCTTCGGCTACCGTTCACGAGGGAGACGCATCCTGAATTCCTGCCGCATTCCGTCCGGATGCGCCCGCCGGCTCCCATCCGAGACTCTCGCGCTATCATGCGATGCGTCGACGAGAGAAAGAGAGAGAGAGAAGATTCCGAGAGCGCGTCATTCGTTCGTCGGGCCCTTAACACGAAACGATACTTAAGTCCGACCGCGCGTAAACCGCGAAATAACAATTAAATTTAATATCGCGTTATATCCTTCGCGTTCATGATGAGCAGATATAAAGAGCGATCTCGGACGATCAGGGTGCATCCCTGTGAGAAGCTGACGCTGCAGGGATATTTTGAAGCATCGTATCATATTAATATCCGCTATTATAGCTATATAAGATATTTCTAATCAAATTTCTAGTAAATAATATTTTTATTTTATCTTGTCCTCTCTTTCTTTTTTTATTTTCATATAATAATTCGCGAGTATTGGAACATAACATTGAAATAAACTTTGTGAATTGTAAGAAAGATACACAATTCGTTACACAATTCGTAATGCATAATTTCTATGACTTATCCATTAAGATTTTAGAGAAACTTTATTAGTAAAATTATAAAATATACATTTACAGAGGAGGGCCACTTAATGCATCTGCGACTCGTATTATCTTATAAGTTTTACGGGCCATCCTATTTATGGTCGTTAATAAAAGTAGCAGTGTAAAAGCATAATCGCGAACGGCTTTTCCCGAAAGAATCTTACATACCGCTACCGCGGAATAATTGCGAAATGTCGCGATACCACCGTAATTGAGCGAATTCGCACGCTCGTTTATCTCGCGCGGACAAAGCGAGTGCATCGGCCGCGACAATAATTAATAATACCTCCGTCGAGAAATCGAGAGAGCCGAAAGTCCTCTGAGGTCTCTGCGAATGGTAAATCGTGGCGTGCGGATAGTAAATTACGGACCGTCAAGTGACAGAGCATGCTCGCCGAAAGATTGCATTTTTTTAGGGGGAGAGAGAGAGAGAGAGAGAGAAGGCGCGCATACTTTTTCGCGAAAGAATCAAAGAGAGTGAAGTCGTATATGCAGAGATTATATCGTCCCTCTGGCTTACTTGTCGCCCGTGTTACCGGCGACGTACACGGAACCTGCGCCCCGTGTACATACATTGTGTACGTTTGTTACGGTATCGTTCCATACTCAGGCTGGAACGAGCGCTTATATCATCGTCCTCGAAGGAGAGCGCATGTACGTTCGCCTGTTGGCCATGCGAGCTCATGCTCTCTCTTTTTCTCTCGGCGGATTTCAATGCCAGCGAGAGACGTAGGTGTGCGAACATGAAAGGGGGATGTGCGGGGAGGGAGAGAGAGAGAGAATGCCTTAAGTCGAGGCTAATGATACGCGATGATACGCGGCATTCGTCACTGTCCGATGTCTGGCTTGATTGCCGCTACTGTTCTCTATCCTTTATCTTGCGCGAGCTCTCGCCACCGACGCACGCGTACGTGCGTCAATGTGTGCGTAGGATAAAAGCAAGGCGCGCTTAATGATAGATCCGTCATGGACAAGTTGCCGTGCGAAAATATTAGCGGTGCGAGTCTTGGTTAATTGACCGATTGAACGATTAATTGAGGTTCAATAAAATTCCGCGAAAGGATATCGTTCCCAAATCGCATATTATTATTTTTAATATCGAAATATGTTTTAGGTTTATTCTAAAACGTTTTGAAAAAAATATGTATTATATTAAATTAATAAGTTAATAGCTCTCACTTATAAAAAGTATAAGATTTCGAAAAAATTTCAGAATACGAAAAAATTAAAATGGTAAGTTAATAGTAGATTGTGATATTTATTCCATTATATATAGTTGTGAGAAACACTATGTAGTTTACTATAAAATCACGTGTATATATAGGTTAACATATAATCTCTGGTTTAACACGAGATCGTAGATACAGTCACGAAGTAGATCGTGCGGTACGGTTCAAAGCAGGATTGGATTTACGAGATCGAGAAAGAGAGATTTATTTATTAATCTACGAGCTCTATGAAATTGTTATTAAAATTGTTGTTATTAAACATCCTTGAATAATCATATTTATTAATTTCAGGTTTGATTTAAATGTAATTAATTTTAATTATTTTTATTTTGAGACTAAATAAAAAAATAAAAAAATAAATATAATTTATCTTAAACAAAAAAATATTAATTCACTTTATATCACTTTATATCAAGATTATTTTATAAATGGCAGATTTGGAAAAGCAATAAAAAAATAGAGATAAAAGACAAAAAAGTTAGTGTGACATACTTCATGGAATCGTGATTTTTGCAGGATCAAAACGATCGATCGTAATTCATCCGATGACTCCACTCGGTAAGGCGATTCGTTTCTTTGTTGTCTTCTGACAGTCGCGCGCGAAAAAAGTTAACTTATTCTAAGCATGAAATCCGACTGACTTTGGGAAAAACCGAGTCGTAATCCGATATGCCGGCGCTCTCCACGGGTGCATCAGTTTAATTTGGAATACAACGTCTTGGAATTTACAGAAAAAATATTCTTCTGATTTTAAATTATACACACAAAATTAAATTAACGAATTTGTTTACTGCAGAACAGATATCAAATAATTCATTATCCAAGATCTTGATACTTTAATATTCTACTTATTTTTTTTTCTCTCATTCGCGATTAATATAATTTGTCTAATATATGTACATCTACTTACTACTTATATAATTTATGCTAATATATAAGATGACGAATCTCTTTTTTTCTATCGTATTTGCAAATTGTTACAAACGATAAAATTTGTAACATTTGTTAGAATCATATTTTGAAAATGTGTATAATTTATAAAAACTTATTATATGTATTTTATCTCATCAATAGAAGCGTACATTATTATTAAAAAAAATCATTTACATTTATAATACTTTTAAAATGTGAAAGGAACGATACATTTCTTTCAAAATTTATGTATATAACATATTAACGTTCCCTTTTTGTAATATTACTCACTCACGATAATTAAATAATGAACTTACGTTCATATCATATTTGCACCGGCTCCTATTCTCGGATTCGTCCGATCGTCGTCGCTAATATTTGGCAGGCACGCAAAAGCACTTTCGCGTGGAATAACCGACGATACTGAGCGCCGATTGCGACCGTCTCGAGCCGCGATTAATTAACGTTAATCGCCGAATGAGACGAAACCAGTTCGCATCGAGCCGCTCGTGTCCCTTTCGATACTGGCCGCTCCTGCCGTATTTCCAAGATTTGTTGAACGATTCGAGATGCCGACTTATCGCGGTGCAGCGTGCCTCTATTATTTCACGGTTTGTGTCCCACAAATATCTGGCCGTCACGCGATCTCGCGTCGCCCCTCGGTCCCAGCACCCGCGAATATATGCCCCCCTTCCTTCTGCCTCCCTGTCTCGCTCATCGCTCGAGAATGGTCGGCACGATCGCGGGCACCGGCATTAATCAATGCTGTGTAGAAATTAATATAGCTCGCGGTGTTGTACCGTAACAACGAGCAAAGAGAGCCGGACCGATAAAGAGGCAGAGCGGGATTTTTAACGAAACGAAAGAGAGCACGCTCTCTTGTGAGGCGTGGGCCGCCAAGCAAACTCGTCTCTCGTACACAACGATATCCCTCTATCGATGCGAGAAATGCGAGACCTCGCGGTGCCCTGATACATCCGTGACGAAGATCCGGGCCCCTATTAGACGCTGCATGATCACCTAAGGTAAAATATTCTATTCGTACATGGAAGAGATACGTCTTCGCCCAACGATTTCTTACTCTTCAACGCTCATTGTCCTCGTCGTCCTTTCCATGTCCACGTCCACGTCGCTCTTTGTAATACGTGTCTCCTCTTTGACGTCCCGCACTTCGTTCGTCTCCCCGGGACATTTCCATCTCCGAGCTTTGTCAGATTAACTGATCGTCGAACTGCGCACGATCGATCGGTACAAGTTCGATCGTCTATAACCAACTCGTAAATGCAACGGAAAAAGGAAAGGATCTTGTGCCGGAAACGCACGCACGAGTCGTAGTGGACACATTAGATATATTAGACGAATGAATGTATCGTTCATAAATGAAAATATGAGTGAAATGTCAAACGACGAGCCTTTTGATTTTTTTCTCTTTCTCTCTTTCTCGATACGTTTATAAAATTTATTCTTTGTTTAATAGATAAAATATAATTTTGAATTCTTTGGATATCAGCTAAAAATTATCTCAACGTATCTTGTTACTCTACTCTTTTTACTCTAGCTACCAAAAAAATTTGAGCATAATTTACTCACCAATTGTTGGCACTTGTTGCATGGTATATTTGCCGGTTCATGAATGCCAATTTCCATTTGCTTCCACGAAGACGATTTATTCACACACATGGATAAATCACGAAAACACATTCGATTACGCGGCTGCGCGAGAATATTTACACGATATACGATTTAAATACTACACTTTCGAAATGTATTTACTTTTAATTTACGCACACTCACATATTCACTCGCAACGCGAAAAACGCGCCGATAATTTTTCGATCACCCGGCGAAAGAGCCGCCACAGAAATATTTCATTTCCGATATATTTAATATTCGTTAACGCGGAATTATACTTCGTCGATCAATGAGTAATTACTAATTAATATCATATTAGGGATAAGAGAGGAGAGAGATTTATATAAATATTCTCGACATTTTTCAGCGCCATCTATGCTCATTCATTTTCAACGGCTGAGAAAAAAAAACGCCGAAACGTTTTATCGGAATTAACGCGAAGATATGTGATATGTGATATAAACACATACTTTCCTTATTTAAATAGAATATCGCGCACTGCAAAGCATATTTAAAAAAAAAAACAGACTCGATACGACGATTCTTGAAATTGAAACCGAGTCACGTCATAAATATGTCGTGTTAGAACGTATCAAATATATTCGATAAATCTATCTAAAATTTGCCCGAGAATATTCGAGATAGACTTGCTATAGAAACTTAATCGCGCGTACTTGCAGCCGAATTAAAACACGTAATATTAATTAGCAATTACCTTTCGATCGATGGAAGATTCTGATATTGGAATCGCGACGAACGCGTCACGACATGTCATTAAATACTGACAAGAAGTTGTCGCGTTTGTGAGGAACTAGCATCCCTGCCTAGTGAAATGTGAACCCAACAAACATGGCGCCTTTTTTAATTGCACATTATTAATCGTCGCGAATATATAAGAGTGATATATCGAATTGAAATTAATTACTAAAATAAAATATCGCGTACTCCATTTATATCGTAATTATAAATAAATTTTGAATTTAATAGAATTAATATTTAATCAGCTGTCTAATAAACTCATGGCGCATGCGCGGTTAATCAGATGCGTCTGGCGTCAAGATTAAACGACAAAAGCCGTGATGATCGATATGTGAACCCTTAAAGTCGCGGTTTGCGCCGAGAGGCAACAAGCGGTCGAATTTCGCGAGTGTCGGAAAATATTGAACGATCACGTTGAGATTAAGCCTCTCGCGAGTGATAATGATCTTTATTTAATCGATATGCATATCGCGGTCAACGCATCGAGATTCTGCAACGGACGCTTTAACGAGTGACGCGTGTGCGGCCCTTTAATACAATCGCGCGAGTTTTCGGCTAGTCGCCGAATGGCCGCCATGACGCTCAGACGAATTTCGGGAGTGCCGAGGAAAATATTGGACGGTTATCGCGATGGAAATTCGACGTAAATTCGATTTAACGCGAGAATAGTGATGGATATTTAATCGGCGCGGAATCGTGAATTACAGAAGCTTCGTCGAATGTCTTTCAACGAACATTTTAGCGTGTTTATACTTCCAACGAATATTTCCTTTTTTTCTCGCATTGAATATTTTCTTTCCTTTGAACGCGGGACTAATTATGCGTCATCGACAAATAATTATTAATTATTATTACGTTAGAACTAGAAAGAATCGTTTTACGCAATAGTCGATATATTATTCGTTATATATATCTTCACGTTTCTAATCGGTAAAGCGCAGGACATTTTTCTGAAGTTGACTCGACGCGAGCACACGAGACACTAAATATATTTCTGGAATTAGACGCGAGAAAGTACGAAATACATAAACATTCCTTCAAAGGAATGCGTATCGCCCGAGGCGATTACTGGAAAACAAAAACATAGACTCGCGGGCTCGATTCCCGGAATCGGTAGTGGGGGAAGACGCGAACTGGCGCGTGACGTCACGACTGTGCGTCGCGCAGTTGATAGTTGAATTTCGGGCGTCTTGAGGTAAAATGCTTCGCGAGTGTAGTGACTGTGTAAATCGTGGTTTGCGTCGACAATTTCATCTTTTTCGACATCTCGATTATTAACGTGTCAATCTTTTACACGTTTGCGTGTCATCGAATGGTAATCATCGCATGATTGTCACGAATACGAGTCACTGGACACATTTATGCATCCATCGGTCGTCGAGTGATAATTGTGAGCTTCGGGAATGCCGGGAAAAAGTATCAAGGTTATATTGCATTACATTTTAATATAAACGTCGCGACTGATAGTGAATAATGATGCTATATGTCGATGGATAATCGTCGCGCATAAATATCGTCGAGAGTCGAATAAAAATGTCGGACACGAGTGCGCAAATGTGTGCTTAATATCGTCTAATATCTTCTTAATATCGTCTAATCTATATTTGATCGAAAGTATATCGTCGCGCGTGAATGTCGAAAAAAAAAAAGATCATGAATTTTGTTCCGATAGTGGTGGATATATAAGTGTACATTTTAGGAGTGTCGAAAAAAGTATAGCGCAATAATCAAATTTTGAATATTGCAAATACCGTGAGAGTGATAATAATTGACGCTCAATTGATCGATCCACTTACATGGTGCGATGAATCATCAATCATCGATAATCGAAGCTTCGGAGAAAGATGAATGGAGCAGATGACGAGAAGGAAACAGTAGGACGACGGGTGAGTCTATAATTATGATCATTAATTAGATCATGTTTAATCCATACGTAATGAGTTGATACAATTGTAATAATAAATTCTGTTTATTTACGGATACATGAAAATCATTTATTCATATGATCATTTATTTCATATGACAAATTATTTTAAAAATATGCATTAAAATAAAATATATTTTTCATGTAATTTTTGAGATTTTTATATTACATTATTTTTTTATATGACGATTAAGAAATACACTGATGCATACAATTTTATATTATATTTAAAAAATATACAGGATTTATTTTTACATTTTAAAAATTGTAGATTAGAAAATGACGAATTTATACGAGTGTATAATAATAAATTCTGTTTCTGGATATATTAGCAAGCATTATTTTCTAATATAATATGACAAGAAATTATTTTAAAAATAAATGTAAAAGAAATGAGATATATTTTTATAACTTTTCACAATTTTTATATAACATTATTTACATAATGATTAAGGATTAATTAATGTATACTGATGTACTAAATTTTATATTGTAAGAAAGCACAGAATTTATTGTTATATTTTAAAAATTGTACGTCAAAAAATATTATGATATGCTAAATCAATTTGATCCAATCAATAATGATGTACTAAATGTTAATTGTTCATCGACTTATATTTATTGCGGCTAATCCTCTTACAAACATATTGTAGATTTAATACTATTATATATTTGATATATATTTTTATTTAATTAACATTTATTTAAGCAATAGTTGATTTTGGATAACATTATAATTATATAGGAAACGCATATATGTGTATATATATAAAATCCGTACATATTCTTAAAGTCAATTAAAGATGCATTTAGTCTCTAAATAAATTTCGAAATTAATTCGCGTCGAGTTTTTAAAAAAAGATATACGCAACAATTTAGATAAAATTGAAAGATGGCTTTATAATTGTCGAGTAGTAAGGAGAAAATAGTCTGCGATTTACGAAGCAGAATGTTTGTGCACAACATGATAGGACATCACACGCGCGCTTTTTTCTGAACTCGGATCGTTTTATCATTTCTCGATTTATCCCTTTCTCGCGCTCGCTCGCCGCTACTCTCAAACTTATCTCATGTACGTGGCGCCTTAGTACGTATGTAACCAATATGATTGACGTTACTTGACGTAACTCTTGCCGAGTCTAAAGTTCTTACGAGCCACGAGCTAATCCTTCGGCGGTAAAGTCGACGGATGCGCGATCGTTACGAGCTCTCCTACTGTGTTTCAATATTTTCTGAGCTTTGCGAGTTGCGTTGGTAACCGGCCTTTATATTTCTACACGCATAAAAACAGATGCAATAACTTTGCGTTTATTACGGTCGTATACCAGGTGTATAGAGCACGACATCATCGTCGCTGTCACAGCTTTTCCGGGGATTTCGAGTACCCGGATACTAAACTCGGAATCATCAAAAACGTTATCACGATTACGCGTTGTCAAATTGTTCATACTCCACAATTACGTCAAAATATCAGCGCAATAAAGTTTCGTTCAATATTGGTGAATTTTGCAGTTAGAGAAACGAATTCCAGTCATGTCCCCTCGATGATTTGTTGAATTGTAATCGATTTATTCGCATATTTCGTCGGTTTTATATATAATCATTCAGAGTTTCTTTGCATCATTATTTATTGAAAGAAAAATCTGGATACATCCCATGAATTTGTATGAAGAACTCTCTAAGAATTTTCTATGTGGTTTCTACTCAATAAATATTGATCTATGAGTGAAATATCCAATAACGCTGAATACAAGAACATTATTGGATTTTTTTATAAACTTCTGAATGAGCATTATTTATTTTACAGTTTGCAAGAATTTAAATTTTATAATCTGATCAAAATTTTTTAGAAAAAATAAAATTTTTTATAAAAGATTTTATATGAAAAATTTACATTGAAAATTACTTATATTTGCAGATGAATTTTCAGAATTAATAATTTTTCTTTGCGCTTAATACATTTGACGTTAAATTAATTCAACGTCGCAATTATTTTTATTTTATTTTAGTTTTTTACATGTACTAAAAATGTACTTGTAAGAATTTAGATTTTAATTTTACCTGCTGATATATGTACATAAATCACTAAAAAATTGTATTAAAGGTATTTTTTGTTTTTATAAATATTTTCAAAGCGCGAAGAAATTTCCAAATTCCACCGATTCGAAAAATAGTTAAAATTGATTCTTAATTCCGCTTGTAAGAAAATCATTTTATTTTGATAAGTATAATAGCGATATCTAACGCGTCGTCTCTTCTTTACTCTTCTCGGACGATTATCATTTTAGAAGAAGCCGCGAAAAATCGGGACGAATCGTCGTAGGGGCGAAAA